CATTCTCGGGATTTGGGCCTGAAGGCCGCCTTTTCCCTTAATTTCGGGAATGACACGTGTCGAGCAGGGATTGGTCCATTTTAGACCAATCTGGGGATGACATGTGTCACCTTCTGATTGGGCCACGTGGCAGGGTAAAATTACCCTAAACACTAATAATCAATGTTTAGTAGGTAGTCTTTTTTATTTTTTTATTTTTAAATATTTTTGTTAATACCAATTACCAATCTTTGCAAATTGAAAAAAAAAAAATAATTGATTGTTAAATAAAAAAGTTTATATAAGAGGTAGAAGTCAAGAAGGTGGGTGGACCAGCCCAGTGGCCCACTTATGACTTTGATTTTCGTTTTTATGGGCTCACAGGAACCTAGACCGGCCATTGGTGACTCTATTTAGAAGTAGCAAACGGGTTATTTGGGTCGGATACGGTCAAGTCAATTTCAGGTTAGGTAACAATCGGGTTGTGCTTGGGTTAGTTCGGGTCGGGTCAATTCAAGTTTCGGCCAGCTTGGGTTGGATTAATTTTGGGTCAAGTGTGTTCAGGTTAAAATCGGATCATTAATTTTGTGTTGTTAAGGTGAATTAAGCTCAAATCAATAGTTCAATTTGGTTTGTGAGTTTAATTATAATTGAGGATTTTAGTCATTTTTGGCACCAAACATTTTTAATTCGGGTATTTGTTAATTTAGTTCAGAATAATTCAGATATCGGGTCTCTGTTCAGGTACAACAATTCAGGTTAAAATCATATCGGGTCAATTTTAGGCCGGGTCAACTTCGAGTTGTGCACAATCGTGTCGGGTCATTTTGGGTATAGGGTCAACTCTACTTTCGGGTAGGGTTAGGTATATTTCGGGGTTTGGATCAATTTTCGGGTCACGTGATGGGTCAGGGTTGCCAGGTCTAACTCTATGGATGCAAAAGGAATTACTCGAATTTGCTGACTTAATTTATTTATTTTATTTTTCAAAGAAAAATATACAAAGGTTAAGGGAGTCTTCCCTCATGATTGAAATTTGCTCACACAGTGGTTAAGTTTTTGGTTTTTTTTTTTTTTTTTTTGAAAGAATATTGTGGTTAAGTTGATAATTTAAGTGTACACCATCGATTTACTAGCTAATAATAAATAAGAAATAAAAGAAAAATAGACAACCTTTAAATAAAATTGCGGAAGCATACACTTAAATCGGAGGTATTACCGCCACACTCAACAACCTGTCGAGTGTTAAGGCTTACAAAAATCCCAATAATTACAACCCAATAAACTAGGTGAGCTATTTATACAACTTTATAAACTCATGACATCACACTAATCGAAACACTTGAGCTCCTTTAGCTACGACCAATTGATCAACCTACTTAGAAAATCTTGACTGCTCACCATTAAGGACAAATTCCAAAATAGATCGTTGCAGGGCCACCATAAGAAAAAGACATGGCCGCAAATACAAATAGCACAATAAAACAACACACACGTCAGCAAAAAGCTGAGTAATCACCACATATCAGAATATAGAGCATAATATAATAATTAACATTATTAGATCAATTAAACAATGTAGTTCGAAACTACATTACACATTGTACTCTGAAGATAACTTTTGTCAAACTCAACCTCGAATAATAGTACGAACCTTTACTCAACTCATAACCAATAAGTGTGTCATGCTCGTTGTTCTATACCTAGCCTTGGACATGGGTAATTCGAATAAAACCAACAAGTATAAAAACTTGAATACTCCCAATAACTAGAAAACACCTTGAACCAGACTACATACGGGTCAATTCCCACTGTAGGGGACCATAGAAAAATAGATAATAAAGATTGTACCTCATTCTTAACTCATGATTATTACCCTCTTACCAACAAGCCAAGGACTAAGTTATATAACGCCGAGCCTCAAACCAAGATCAAAATAATAATTCTCAACCTTTTGATCTCACACATTGATCAAATAATTATTCATAAACAATCTCAACAATGGCACATGTTCCCAAATAACATAACAATTCAATTCAAAAATATCTCAACTCTTAGGGAAATAATACTAGCACCCAAAAATAATTGTTTCTCAACCCAAAAATAATACTCTGCACTAACAACCCTAAATCCTCAAAACAATACTCTCTATAACAACAACATTAAAACCCTAGCAATAATTGAACAGTCAATATATACAACAAAAATAAATAATATGATACTCAAATCTAATTAAATCATATAAAACCATAATAATTAATCATATATACAAAGAGTACAAATAATAAATCATATCACACATAACATTACGAAAATACAAACATCTAAAAAATATAGTGTGATTACACATAATAAATAATACAATCAAACATCTCCAAATTGATAAAGTGTGAGAACCTTTCGACAAATCGCACATGATATATAATACAAGGGACGAACTAGGTGGACAACTTTGCAATTCACGGTTTTAATCCCACAAACAATTCGGTACAGCTTCTCTCATGATGCAATTAACATATAAATCAAGTAATATGATGGTGGAGATTATAGAATACAACGAAACATTAAAGAAGAGTCAAATTGGGTTTATTGATTTATGCATGAAAGTTGCGCACAACCTAGAAGGAAAAGCAGCTGCTCTTTTTTTTTTATATATAATAAAAATATCTTTTACGGGTTAAGAATAGTTTATATACGATTAAAATTAGAGAGTCCTATTTAAATTAAAATAAGGTTTTAAACCTTTCCGAACTCTAAAATAAAAATATGAGATTAGAAAAGTTTTTTAATAAATAAAAAATAACTATTTTTTTTGTTAAAAAAAATATATAATATAAAATCATAAAATATTCGGGTATTACAATAAGATCATTCTATTTTATTTTAATTTATTTTACTTATACATTTTAACATTTAATTATATGTTTGGATGTGCAGATTTGGCAAAACAGGAATTTACAAAGCCTTCATGTTTGGGAGTCCAAGCATAATTGTGACTACACCTGATATATGCAGAAAAGTCCTGATTGATGATGAACATTTCAAGCCTGGCTGGCCAATGTCAACTGAGGAGTTGATCGGTCGGAATTCCTTCATTGTTATCCCCTCCGAAGATCACAAGCGTCTTAGGAAATTAACTGCCGCTCCTATAAATGGACATGCAGCACTGTCAAACTACATAGAGTACATAGAAGATATCTCGAAAACTACTTTGGATAAGTTGAGCAAAATGGGAGAAATCGAGTTTCTTAATCAACTTCGAAAGTTAACTTTTCGTATCATCATGTACATCTTTCTCAGTTCAGAGAGCGAGTCTATCTTGGAGGCTTTAGAAAAGGAGTACACACACTTAACCATGGCCTTCGCGCCATGGCAATTAATATCCCTGGATTTGCATACCATAGTGCACTTAAGGTATTATTGGAAAATTTGTTTGTGTTTGCAACATTTCAATATGCTTGCTTTAGTCATCAATTTCTTTCCATCTAATGTATATATGATCATGGATGAAAATTTTCACTAGGCTCGGAAGAATCTCATGGCAGTGTTACAAGCAATAATAGATGAACGAAGGGCAGTGAGGAGAGACGGTGTTGCTATCAAAGCCAAGAGAGATATGATGGATGAATTACTTGAAGTTAGAGATGAAAATGGGAGAAAATTGAGTGATGAAGAGATTATAGATCTTTTGATCATGTATTTAAATGCAGGACATGAATCATCTGCTCATACCATTATGTGGGCTACTGTCTTAGTACAGCAGAACCCTGAAATTTTTCAGAAAGCCAAGGTACTAAAACACTTCAAATCGTGCACTTCATCCTATGATTAATCAAATATGAGTCTGGTTTCAAAAAAAAAAAAAAAAAATCAAATATGAGTCAGTTTTTCCACGTTTGTAACTTAACTGCTTAGATAACACTCACAATTCTATGCTTCACCAAATCGTCGAATTTCAGGCAGAGCAGGAAGAGATTATAAAGAACAGATCAGCAGGACAGAAAGGACTGACTCTGAAAGAAACCTGAAAAATGCCTTATTTGTCTCAGGTAAGTACAAAGTACTCTGGTCAAAAAAATAAAAAAATTTCTAAGTACTAACTTTCTCCTCACATCCCACCTTATCTTTGAGTTTGCATTCTTCGTTGAACTAACCATTTCTTCTATGAAATTAAGGTTGTAGATGAAACACTCAGGCAATATTGGACTGCATGATAAATGGTTAGATACACATTCAAAACACATTTAACTTGTATATATATTTAAAAAAAAAAAAAAGAAAAAAGAAAAAAAAAAACTAACAAAAGAAAGTTTTACAGGTTATACTATCCCAAAAGGATGGAAAGTGTTGATATGGTTTAGGACTTGCCATTTAGATCCCAAAGTTTGGCCCGAGCCTATAAAGTTCAATCCCTCCAGATGGGATGTAAGTTAAACTAAATCTCTTCTCATAACAAAAACTTAACGTACAAAAACTAAATACTTCGTTTATGTTGTAGGACGTTGTTCCAAAACTAGGGACTTTCCTTCCCTTTGGTGCTGGGAGCAGACTGTGTCCTGGGAACGATCTCGCCAAACTCGAATTTTCAATTTTTCTCCACTATTTTCTCCTTGGTTACAGGTAATTTAAAATATTTTTGAAGTTTTTTTTTCACCTGGAATCATGCACTAGGCTTAAAATTTTGTGGCAAAATTGTGGTGCAGGTTGGAGAGGAGCAATCCCGAGTGCCCAGTGCAGTTCTTGCCCCATAGAAGACCAAAAGATGCCTGCTTAGCTAGAGTAAAAAAAAAATATGAGCTTCTTTCATTTAAGTTCTGCCAAAATAAAGCAAGTTCTTGTAACGTTTATTTGAGACTGATGTGTAGGCTTCAACATGTTTACTGTTTTATTTTCGGATTTGAACATTTTGGTAATAGTAATATCATGCTATCTCTCCTTAAGGGGGAAAAAAAAAAAAAAAAAAAAGTAGGTCACAATTAAAATTTTGTTGTCTAATCTTAACAACTACCACCATTTCTACCTTTACAGTATAAAAATGATAATCATATAAAGATCTTAGAAATGGTGTTTCTCCCCAATAAAATCTCTGTATAGATTAAACTCTAACCGTCCCGAGTGAGGGAGCTGACACAAATCAAATTACTAAGAGCCAATTCTATAATCCATATAAAAAAAACAGTTCCCGAAAAGTCTAAAATACAACAATCTGTTAAATGATAACCGAGCAGAAGTATTATATATGTATGATCACCATTTTCCTCATCCCTCCCTATGAGAAAGAGCTGTTAGATGATGGCATTGAATGGAGCATACCTAAGGACGTTAAGCTGGATGACAATGTCTATTTGTCTAATGATCAATCTCAGATGCAGGCATTTCCTTTTTTTTCTCAGCATCTCTCTACTGTTGTTGATCCTCCAAAACTGGCAGATCTTTATCATGCAGTATAACTCGGAAAACTGCATAGTGATGATTCAAACTTTTCTCACCCTGTAGTCTGTATACAGTGCCCAAAGCACCCGCATTTGGATTTGGAAAAGCATAGAATATACGCCTTATTCTTTGATGAACAAGAGCCATGGCACACCTGAAATTCAATGGTTCAGTCCATGTCATAACTAAATATGCATGTACCCTTTTCCTAAATCCTAATTCCCTACCTTATTTCTTTTCTGCCAACACATTATTCAATCAAGGAAATTATGGTTTGAAAATCTTTCCTCACATAGGCTTATATAACAGGATCAATAAATTTTTCAAGATCAAAACAGATGCATCAAAAGGTCTAATGCGACAAAATCATGTAATTATATAAAATTGCCAGACTTAAAAAAATCACACATCAAACCAAAAGTTCTCGTGGATATGATGATAAAAATTTTGATTACTTTACATATAAACAATCCCCTACTCCTTCTACATTCTCTTCTCAAAAAAGGTTATTTAAGAAGATACTTTTGCAGGACTTACATTGCACATGGCTCCCAAGCAAGATATATATCATAACCTGTACACAGGTAAGGTCTTTCTGATTTGGAAAGAAAACCATCAGCTGGAACATCAACACCACTCTTCACCTGATATACAGAATGTTTCAGATTAAAGAAAGACTGAGCAATTCTCTCATAACTGATTCGTAAATAGAACAATCACATAACATGCAATCAAATTCATGTCAGGCAAGTCTACTGAGCACTGCACCGAAAAATATTGTTTGAGATTAACTCGATAGTAAACAAAAATATAATAACTCACATTTGCTAAATTAGTCTTCTGTCGCTTGACTGGCAATCCTACAGCCGAAGTCACATTAGGACTCAACTGAACAGATTCCTCATTAGCTTCTCCTATAGTTGGGAACAAACGTCTATCCCTTGCTGCAGAATATTCAATGGCTACCATAGCAGCATGTCGCAAGGGGTGCCAAAAGCAAGACCTTGATGACGACAGATTTTGCTGTGTCCACTGCCATGGGTTCAAACAAGAAATGCTGCTGCATGATGTTTTGGAAACATTAAAAGACCCATTCAATGATGATGATCCATTAGCATAAGTATGAGATGTTGAGGCTTCATCCACATCTAGGGATTGTGCTTCATGGCCATCAAGACGCATGTTCCATGAAGAGATTTCATCACAAGCACTAGTAATTACTTGATTTGAGGATGGATCCACAATAACCGCAGCATTGACAAACTGCCTTGTACAAAAATAATGGTTCATAGTTACAAAACAACATTATACAGCATCTGCAGCCTTCAGACACAAACAATCCAACCCTTGGAGATATAATGATATATTTTACCTTCCTGCCACAAGATTGCACCATCATGATAACCTTACAATTTCTTGAGCTAATATCTAATAATCATTTAATATTAATCTGAATCCATTTATTTAGTTGAAACTGTAGAAATTGAAACTAGGAGTGATAAGGTATGCATATGTTTTCACATTACATAGCACTTCACTGCTAAAGTATATTGCAAGATGGTTTTTCACACAGAAGGGTATCAATCTGGGAAAAGGATGACAAAACTGAGCTAGTCACCTAAAAGCTAGAAGTTGCTGATTGGACAGGTAATGTTAACGTACGAATATTTTTCTGATTTTTAAGTACTGACTCAAGAAAATGCAAACAACAAATTGACATACGTCAATATGCCTAGGTTTATGTAAGAAAGGTTAACAAATTTCAATTAAGAGTGCTGAAGTTTCAGCAGTTTCAGCCACTAAAACCAACGTTCTTCAAGAAATAAGAGCTCAGTTGATTTATCGGGGAAGTAACCGTACCTGATTGCCAGCAGATTTTGCCAACTTAAGTGCAAAATTCATGTAGTTAAATATTCTAGTTGAGTTTTCTTCACTAAAGCCAGTGATGCCCTCAATGTTGCTGTATTGTGGATGACAAAAGCAAGTAAGTGAATTACAAAGGGACTGGATAACAGAAATTAAACTTATAAAGTACAAGTTTTTTTAAAAAAAAAATTCAGGCACTTGATAAGGATGTCTGGCATCTTACTATGTTGGAGGATGAAATGATGTGGGCCATAATTTGCATTGTTCTTCCCACTCTTCTTTAGTTGTCGCAGCATATTTGCAAACCTACAAATTCAAGGGAAAAAAAATGAAACTGCAAAACTCTCCCAACTTAGATTGCAACATGGTAGCAATACCAGAGCAAAGAAAATTTCAATGCTTGCATACACACCCCAAGGTCACCACCCCTACTCCACTCCCCCAGCCAGCCCAACAAAAGGATAACCAGATAGGAGGAGGGAACAACGGTCTTCATGCACCTTTAACGTGGTAGATGTGAACCAGATAGCTAGGACGGAGAATATCTAAGTGTTGAAGGATGACACAGAGTAACCAGTAACCTAAAATTATCTGCATTCTCAGGACATATATGTTAGGTAATCAACTAAAATCAACTAATGGTTGATTCAGTTGGTTTGGCTGACCAGCTGGTATAGTAAGTTTGTATTCCCTACTCCATTTGTTCCTTAATGAAGACCCCATTCCTCCTAAAAGTCTTGTCCCATTAACTAGTCCATTTCTCATTTAGCGAAGAGTCCATCATCCATTAGTTCTTAGTCAATTCACTTTTAATCATCAAAAACCCCTATCTCACTACCTTCTTTTTCTTAAACAATGCTCCACTAAAATTCCTCACCTAAAAACCTGTGCCCAAGAGATTTGGGGTCTTTAATGAGGGACACAGGGGGCATTAATGAAGAGGCTTGGTGAAATTAATTGGTGTTATACTCTAAGCTATTTATGAGCAAATTAATCAACTTTTAGGCAAATTCCCAAAGCCAGTGAGAAAAAATTGCTCCAATATTTTTTTATTAGGGCTTTTTCACTACTTACAGTTTTCTTTAACTATCATAACTTTCATGCGTAACACTTAAGCAATTACTCCGTAATAAAGTTATAGCAAAGCATTAGAGAAATCTTTATAAAAAAATAATAATAATAATAATAATTTAAAAAAAAAAAAAAAAAAAAAAAACCTCAACATTCCTGGTATTTTGATAAATAAGCTAACCACGTGGAATAAGAGGGCATCCTCCTAGATTGGCTGAAGCAATATGTACCATTGACTAAATAGATATAATAAGCTGGCTTGATGCATAATTTCTGACAATTTTTATTATTTTTCAAACTTCATCTCCTACTTCGGCTAAATTGATGTTAACAAACCATTTTTCTTCTAAGATCGTCACCAAAGATTATACCACCAAAGTAAACAGTAATTTTGTTAATAATTAATAAGCTTATTCTTCAAACTAACTACTATGGAGAAATGGAGTGATAATTTTATTACCCACTTGAGTAACAAAGGGACTCAACTGGTAACAATTGGTCAGCTCTCGCAAGTCCATGGGCATGCAACCCAGCTCGGTTCCATCCTCACCAGTTAGACATAAAATCACGGACAATTGAGTTTCCCCTGTCATAACATAAAAAAGACCAAATAAGCATAATGCCTAGATAATGGCAATTGGAGGAGATTGGGTTCTTTATTCAAACAGTGCTTAAGAGTATATATTATGACTACACTAGTACTTAAGTAAATTAATGTAAAAAGAATTGACTCCAATCTGTTGCTAACCCCTAACCCCGTTGCTAACTGCTAAGAATTAACTAAGCTTAGACACCATTGATGGCAGAAAAAAAAAAAAGAAAAGAAAAGAAGGTAATTATGATTTACAAAGCTGGATAGCTGGAGATTAAAAAACATAAAGTATATTGAAGCATCTGAGAAGCTTAATATTCTCCCATTTAGCTCTAAGCTAACTAAAAGTCTGCATAATATTCAACACAATCTTCTCTTTTTTTTTTGAAACACACGATCTTCTCTATTTAATATGCTCTATAAAAAGAATTAGAGAGCTTTTCCTTTAACAAACTACCTATCTTATAACTAGTTGATTATAATTCCTCCAACTAAAGTACCTCTCCTCCCCCTTTGTATTGATGCTTCACACCTGACCTTGCCAGCCCAACCTAACCCAATCAATGCCTATTGTTGGGCCCGGGTCACCCACCTTGACGGGTTGCACACACACTCTACTCCATATTAGTACGATATTGTCTGCTTTGGGCCTAGCCCGCATGGATTTGTTTTAGGGCACCTTCCCAAAAGGCCTCATACTAATGGAGTGTGCACTCACTTATAAGGAGCTATTCACCTCCTTACTCCTTTCATGTGGGACTTGGGATGAACAACCCCATCACTTATGATGGAGGAAGCTATTTTCTTTCTTTTTTCCTTTCTCTCTACACAATAGATCTTTCAGCAATAATGCTTCCACAAAAATCAACATCATTAAGAAGGCAAACTGGAAAAGTATGAGTTATTTTCCACTAAGTTCATATACTACGTAATTAGGTTAACCTATGAGTGCATCTTTTAGCTGACACATAACAAGAGAGCATAAATTTATGATTCATAATAAAAATTTTGTTCATCCGAAGTCTCACAACAGAAATTTGAAGATAAACCAGAACATAGGAATGAGCTACAGTTGGTATGATAACAGCTAGATGTTATGCTGATATCCCCTTCCATCATACGATTACAAGTGAAATAGCTTCTTTTTTTTTTTTTTTTTCTCACAGACCCTATATTTCAAGAGCCACATGGTTAAAATACAGTCCACAAAATAATGGAAAACCTCGTCAAAGATTCACAGAACTCTGGTTTGAAGAAACAAACACCCAAATGTAAAAAGCAAGCAAGAGTGGAAAACAACAAGAAAACCTACCATCTTTACAACTCTTACGCACTCGTTTCACATGTCGAAGATTCTCCAATGGGGCAATTTTATTCAATTTCCTACACATTGAAATAGTAGCATGGAATTTGAGAGGAAATATATAGGAATGGAAATTCACTCAGATTGATTTTGAGATAGAACTGTACAAGTCACAGGAAGTACCAACTATAAATTATGAAAATTTGGTGTCCCCACATAAGATTGGATAAAAATTCTCCTCGTTATAATAATAAGAAAGACGAAGAATCATAGTATACCTGACTAAAGTGTTGGCAAGTTTTGGATCTATATCTGATGCAAAGACATCAACTGGGTAACAAAATAGTACAAAAATGCACAATCAATAGACTAAGAAAAAAATAGAAACTGCAGGAGAAGCAACAACAAAGTAAAACTAAGTATAAATTCCACAATCTATGAGACATTAAGTTCTCAAACTCAAAGAGAACCAAGCATAGGACTCTTGACCATTATTACTCCTTCCTTAATCCTTATTAAATATCAAAAGAAGGCGGGTAATCGAGAGGGAAAACAAACCTGTAGATTGTTGGGTGGGTAAGAAAGGTGACTTTGCCGGGATATGGATGATATCCCAATTACTATTGACCATCCTATCAAACAAAATCGACTCTTTGAGCTTTAAATCCTGTCAGAGTCATAGATTGGATACAGCAGGAATTTGTCACAGAAATTCAGGGTTGAACAAGAATTGAATGAAACAATGCAAATATGCAGTGCACTAATTAAAGCAACTTATTTGAGCAGAATTACTTGATCTATCAACAACAATTTTTCTATTCCAATGGTAAACTACATGGTTGCAATTTTAATTAATTTGCAAGCAACTCCATTTTGTAAACCACTGGAGATGCTAATGCTCCAAATTTTTTAAAAAAATTCATCTTCTATTCTTCTCCATATGCGTTTCAATGACGAGAATTAAATTGCAGAGTCACTCTCAAATCAAAAAATTCCCACAATATTTGTTTATTGTTAATCCTCCCTACTCTTAAACATTGACTCATTGAGTACAAAGCTAATCCTCCAAAAAGGAGTCCATTGTTAATAAGGTAAGTAATATTCGAATTTCATCAATCACAATTTTTGTCATTTTGTATTAAAAACTTGAATCTTTACTGTAAGTTTTTGTTTTTATCTTTATTTTCATACATAATTTGCAGCAATTGAAGAAAGGAGAAAAGATTGTTATTTACCCAAATTTTCAATTTTCAATGCACTAATTAAACAATAAACAAGTTCCCAAAACAATTATTCATACATCATAAAAAAATAAAAAATAAAAAAACAGCCAAAACCCTAAATTTCAACACCAAAAATTTGCAACAAATGTATAAAATTTGAAACATATATATGAACAGTACTACTTACCGGTGTCTTTCGCACAACTGAAGCGGGCCAAATAGGAGAATGGGATGAAGAACTAAGAAGCAGAAATACCTTCAACAATGGCGGAAGAACAAGAATGGATTTAGAAGAGCAAATAAAAATGGAGGGAGAGACTGAAGTAGGAAAAAACCGTGGAAATGGAAGCGAGGTGAATACTGAATACTGACTAAACCAGAAATGACTATTATGCCCATGTGCATAGATCTATAATCTGTCCTGAATCCTGATTGGGTCGGGTCTATTTCAAATACTCGTAAATTATTATGCGATTTTTTTTTTTTTAATTTTTTTGTAAATTACAGCTCCAAAATGTACATAAGAGGTTTTTCAATGCGGCACGGTTACTTGTATTTTAGGGTTACTTGTATTTTGAGGTTACTTGTATGGGTTACTTGTATGGTATTACTTATATTATGAGGTTACTTGTATTGGATAATTGTATCGTGGGGTTACTTGTATGTGTTACTTGTATTCTGAGTAACTCCAGACCAAAATCTCATACCAAACCAATAATACCCTACAAGTAACCCCTGGTCAAAACCAATAACAGTCATATAAGTAACCCTAGAATACAAGTAACACCTGACAAAACCAGTAACACCCTACAAGTAACCCCGACCAAAACCAGTAACACCCATACAAGTAACCCTAGAATACAAGTAACACCTGACAAAACCAGTAACACCCTACAAGTAACCCCGACCAAAACCAGTAATACCCATACAAGTAACCCCATAATACAAGTAACACCTACAAGTAACCCCTGACAAAACCAGTAACACCCTATAAGTAACCCCGACCAAAACCGGTAACACCTATACAAGTAACCCCAGAATACAAGTAATACCTACAAGTAACCCCTGACAAAACCAGTAACACCCTACAAGTAACCCTTGCTGCACCATGTGGCCAGCCACATACAAAAATTTGTAAATGTACATGTATTGAAATAACTATTTCTATTCAAAAAAAAAAAAATTAACTAATTTTTTTTTTTTGGAAATTAAAAATAACCGGGATTAACCACTTATATTTTATAAAACAAGTAGGTTTTACCACCTGATCTATACTCCGACCAATTTTCCGAGCATGGGCCCTACATAACGGTTGTTTTTTGTTTTTATAAAAGTTGTTTTATATTATGACTACACTTAGAAATTTAATGATGTAATCGTTCTTTGATTCATTCAATTTGAGTTGAATCGGAAATTAGGATTCTTCATAATGAAATTGTGGAGCACATGCTCGAAAAACTTGACGGAGTATAGATAGGGGTGGTAAAATCTACAGTTTTGTAAAATATTAGTCGCGCTCTCGCGCGTTACGCGCGCAATAGTTCTGCATAATTTTGATGTGGTTGTATTACGAAATGAATAGCATATGATGATTATTAAGTTATATTGTATAGCATTTTAAATTTTACAAAGGACGTCCAAATTGGGTTAGGTATTATTGAGGAGGGAAAATTGATGAATTGTTTGTGATAATTTGAAGGACATATAATAATGGTATGGTTATGTATATGCTAAATTAATTAATATTTTCTTATTTTTATTTTTATTATTATTGCTTTTATATACCACATAAGTGATAATAATGTTGCTAAATGTAAAGTGTCATAGAGGTTATATTATAAGTAAATATAGTATATTAGTTATTCAAAGGCATTAACATTATCTTTAATTGTAGAATGTTTTTAAGTAGAAATGAAAAGGTTTGTAGGTTGTAGACAATTGCATATTGATTGGGCATTGGTTGTAAATTGGGCCCATTATTGAAGGGACAAAAGTAGTGTTATGGTTACTATGCTGGTTAGTTGATAGGAGTTGTGGAATTGGTTTGATCTATAATATGAGTTAGGTATTTTTAAAAGTTTTTAAAAAAAATTTCTAAAAAAATATAAGAGTCGGCTAAAAATGGTTTAAAATTATTATTATGCGTATAAAGTATAATTTACTTACAAGTATTGGTAGAAGTTGTTTTAAAATTTATTTATACTTTGGCACACGTATAGTGTTGGGAAAACGGTATTTATTTTGAAGTTATTTATATGTATGATTTAAGAGAAGTGTTTGCTGGGAAAGGTACGTTGTTTGAAATAGTACGACTTCTTTTGCATGGTATGATTAACAAATGAAAAGACGCGAGTTTTTATAAGCGACGATTTGCAGTGTAATTAAAGGGAGAACTGATCGTCACACGGTTCTCGAAATTTGTTTGATTATGTTGAAAATTGGAAACCCTTGCCTTTTGTTTTCGTCTTCCTTGTTCTGTATTCCGTCAAAAGCGAAATCCCCGTTTTTCCTCCAATTTTATTTTTGCTTTCTTTCAATTGAAAATTAACTTACGGCCATGGCTGGAAATGAGGATGATGATACTATTTTAGATGATTGGTACCGAAAATTTCTAGAGAAGCGCAAATATAATCTGCGTGGCCAATATGTGGCTATTGCGGAAGTTCGAAGCGAGGCTACAAAGAAGCTTGATGAAATGAAGGACTGTGATGTGCAGTTAGCCAAGTGCGCTGAAGTTGCACAGAGGAAGAGGAGGGGCAAGGAGGTGAAACATGGGAGTAAGGGTAAAGAATCTGATCTTGGAAGTAACTATGATTCTCCAATTAAAGTAGACAGCGATCCTGATGAGGACGAAGAGCCTGTGAGAATGATAAGATACGTAGGTGTTCAAGTATGTATTTAAGTTGGGTGCCGATGAATGTTTTTGAGATATTGCTGGTGATTTATTAAGCATGTTTAATACTTTTTGTTGTGAGCATTGTGTGTGAGATTGAATAGCTTATGTTGTTATGTTTCTTTTATTGATAGCGGCTGAATGAATGCACTTCTGTATATGACACAAGCAAGTACATGGATGCTTGTGTTTTCCCTTTTTAATTTGAACAGTTTATTTGAGTGACATACATATTTGTTGTGTAGAAGCAAGATTGGATATTATTAGAATTGAATGAAAATATATAGACAAGAAAGTGATGAATGTTTGTGGTTTACCATTATTTTGAAGAGGGTATGTCATGTTTTTCGTAGATTTTGATGTGATAGTCGTTTTAATTCCTATCTAAACCTTTATAAGTTCTCTGTGTTTTAGTTTTGATTCTTGGTCGCTGCATAGAAATCCAAGTGCTAATCTTCATGATTCAATACTATTGTTTGATTCTTGGTAGAAATCATTTAAATAAGCCGAGTAGTTGCTGAGTTGCTGTCTATCATTGAGAATTATATAAAAGAAATTTTAATATACTTCCGTAGTGTGAATTTTGAGTTGAACTTTTTGCTCTTCTGGTTACTTATCTATGCTACATTGCGGCACATTATCAATTATCATTATATTGCAATGGGTTAACATGTAGTTCATCTAAAAAGATGTGTTTTTATAGTCATGGTGGAGCAATGAGTTTGATATTGATTTGTTGTCTCCATAAAGCTATGCTATGATTAGTGTAGTTTGATTTGGTGAGTTATTGGTGTCATATGTTTGTTCCTGCTCATGGTATTTGGCAGAATTGGATGTGTTGGAATAGGTTGTTAGTGATCTCATGTAGGAGTCAATTGTTGGAGTGGATTGTAAAGGGGTTATAGTTGTTCTATTCACTTTGGTAGAATGCAATAAGTTATGCTATGATTAGTGCAGTTTGATGTACTGAGTTATTGGTGTCATATGTTTGCTCCTGCTAATGGCATTTGGCAGAAGTGGATTTGAATATGTACAGAAGCCATCAATGAATGACATATTATCTGTGAAGTCTTGCAAATCTGATGTTCACATTGCATTTTTCAGAATCTCTAACTTAGCCTCAGAGATCTCTGATTGAACATGATTTCTTGTTTGAGTATCTTCTTGCTGATGCCCTAAGAGCATGATTTTTCTAAATTGTATCCTAATGTTAAAAATTGGACATATTGTGTGGAGCGTGTTTGCTGTCATATGAGATGAAGAGCATAATTTAAAAAGTCAAGATCATTGCAATTTACTTTCTTTCCAAGGTTAAAACAATTGTAGTTTTAGAAATGTGGAAAGATGATTAGTAGTATATTACTAAATCAATTGTGATCTAAGAGTATTATTTAGAGCTAGAAAATTTTTTGAGTAATCACTATGTAATATTGAGCTTATCATCAAATTTTATTACTAATTTGTTGTGTCATTGTTTTAGTAATAGTGATTTTATAAATGTGTCTACAAAAATTAAATTGAAGTCCCAATTCAATGTAAAATAAAAAAACAAATTACTTGTATAAAATCAACAAAAAAAAGCAAAAAATTAAGTAAAGGTGAGCATGGAAGAAGACAGAATTGAAGTAGGGGTAAAATTGGATGTACATGTACATAGAATGAATCCATTATTATTGATAAGTGTATAATTTAAATCACTTTTAGGCAAGGAAAGCTTTTAAAAAATGAATTTCAAAGGCTGTGGTTTTTTTTTTCAATTTGTTAGGCTTGAAGGGTATAATAGAAGAATTGAGGAGAAGAGCTCAACTTTATTTTTAGTTTTTTTTTTAATATAAGAATATAGGTTTTTGTTAGGAATATCTGTGGATAAAGGTTGAAGTTGAATAGTAGAAAGACTTAAATTGAATTAAAAGTGTTGTTTACCTTTTTATTGTTTTTTAGACTTCCTTTTTTTAGACTTCCTTTAAGGTTGTCTCTTTGTGCAACTTTTAAGGCTTAAAAGGTATAATAGAATAATTCTGTGTAAATTAGTATTAATTATTGTTTTATGAGATTGCAATGATATAAAAACTATTACTTATTTTGTTCTTGCTATTGTGTGTGATTATATGAGTGATGCTTAGTATTTTGAGTTTCAAATGATGTAAAAGCTGCTATGATTTTTCAAAACTTGCATACACTTGCTGACTAAACTCATAGGGGATTGACAATCAGCACTAAAATTATGTTATTATTTGATAACTTGGTTACAGATGTATTTGTAGGCATGATCTGTAAGATTTAGTTGCATGTGTGTGGGATGTTTTTTTGGGTTCCTTGAGTTAGGTGTGGGTTCAGGTATATTAATATTCATGTTGACATCAGAATGTAGAGGGGAGTAATACTATTTTATGAGCAAGGGTCACCTTGCATATTTTGTTTCATTGAATTTGATTACTCTGCATTATCTTATATTAATTTGCTCATTCACAATAGTGTTTAATAAACACAAGGCAAACATTGAGCTTATACGATAGAGAAACACAATTATCAGATGCTTAGAAAATAAGTCATGAATGATGACTAAGATTAACAAAAATGGAATTAAATGAGCTTTAAAGCCCTCTCATGTAAAGAAAGACCAAAAAGGAGATTACGCATGGATGGCGTAAGATGGACATGAAAAAGGCAATGCAGTGTAGAAAAATAAGTTTAGAATCACTGAATGTGTGTCTACAAATAGGAGGAAATTCCAAATTCGTAAACAAAAACCTGGCGACATTTTGGTATATAAAGACAGAAGCCACGATAATTACACCTAAAAATTAATCATAGCAGCCTGTATACTGTAATTTTCGATATATACCCTCTTTCAATGATAGTTCTAATAATTATCATTACATAAGCTCCTTAAGATAAAAAAATAATTGATTGGGACTGTTAGGAAGGTTAGGAAGGACAGGGCAAGCTGGCTGACCCTTCCAAATAAAAAATTCTCAAAGTGTTCGAATTTCAGTATTTGAAGCAAAGGATTAAGTGTTTAAATTCATAAATCAATTCAAAATCAGTTGAGGTTGTTTGGATTACTGAGAGACAATCAGTGTAAGAATTACCATTTGGATTAGGACTGTAAGAAGAAGTTGGATTAGTAGTTACTTATGAAGGAGACTTAACAAAAGATTGATAGATGATGGGTCTCTAATAAGGAAATTTTGGATTAGTAGCTAGTTTGATATTATAGGTTTCTGTCTTTTATTAATAATTATCTATGGTTAGAATATTGATCTAGTGTCAGTTTGAGCTATCAGTTGGTTTTAATTGCTTACACTTTGGTTTTAAGAAATTTCTATGTGAATAGCTTATATTTTAAAAGATGCTTATGTGATTAACTTACTTAGTAGTCTTTTGAGGTATAAATAGTGAAATACTGCATGAATCAAGATTAAATTATAGTGGCACAATAATATCTTTTTGGCAATGGTACTAATTTCTGGTCTTTGCATTGTTGATGATTAATTGCATGCTAGATTTTGTATTGCATCAGTGTTTTTTTGGTTTGCATGTGAGCAGAGGAGTGAGTCTTGAACCTGAATAATGAAAAGTCCATTCATTATATAAGTGAGGAGGTTTTTATTCCCTGCCATTCTTTTTTTTTTATAAATTATAGGTTTCTTAGTCTTGTTTATTTTCCAATTGTTAGTGTATTTGCTTTGCTGCCATAACTATTAAACTTCATAATCTGGCATTAGTTTACATTGAACATGGGAAGAAATGGCAGTGATTGTCTAGTTGTTGAAGACCGCAATGTCCAAGCTAGGCTTCTGGGCTTACAGCTTAGGGAAGCTAAGCTAAAGGGCAAGCTATCTGATGCACGGGCTGTTCGAGTTCATGCTGAGAAAATAATAGGCAAGCTAAAAAGAAAGCTGAATAAATTATCAGATGAGATTTTGGAGATCAGGAACTTTGGCACAGGGAAGAGGCTCATGAAGAGCAGTAACAATAATTGTCTGCCTGTGGTGCAATTAAGCAAAGCCCAAATGCACAGAACTGAAGCTGCTGAAAATGTTATGGTAGTTAATGATAGCCAAGATGATATGTTAGCTGAGAAAGACGAAGAAGGTGAAGCTGTCAAGGGGCATTGGTGGTGGCCAGGGATAATGAGATAGGTAGAGCTTTTGGTGGAGAAGACTAAGCAAGCAGACTAAGTTAATATGTTGCAGTATTAGTAGTTTCTGTTAGAAGTTGGTTGTAATAAGTAATCTGTCTAGGTGCATGAAATGGAAGCTTGTTTTGAAGTTTATGTGTTGTATTGAATGGTCTAGTTGTGCAATATATGTTTAGAAATACTAATCTATAATTTAAAATTGGAGTTTGTTCATTTTGTTGAGAAATCAGTAAAGAACTAATCGTTGCCGATGTGTCTGATTTGTTTTTACAAGTATTCTCAGTTATAATTTATGAATCATGTATGCATCATGTGTAATTTGATAATTATTATTATACACATTAGTTTTTTCTAATCTAAAAACAAAAGGGAGAAAACAATGGTTGAAATTTGTGAAATTATTATCATGCAGATTAGTATAAGATGATTATTAAGTTATATTGCTGTGGTTGTATTACGAAATGAATAGCATATGATGATTATTAAGTTATATTGTATAGCTTTTTAAATTTTACAAAGGACATCCAAATTGGGTTAGGTATTATTGAGAAGGGAAAATTGATGAATTGTTTGTAATAATTTTAAGGGTATATAATAATGGTATGGTTATGTATATTCTAAATTAATTAATATTTTCTTATTTTTATTTTTATTATTATTGGTTTTATATACTACATAAACAGTTGTTATCAATCACATGAATAATTTATTTTTCTATATTATAACAATGTATAAGACTAATTGTAGGGGTATATATGACTTTGCTATTTTTTTTATTATTTTTTTCTTGAAATAAGTAATTATTTACTTTTTTGTTGAATTGAAATTTAATTTTTTAACTTGTGTAAGATATTAAAGTTGCTAAATATATTGGAATAAGTGATATAAGTTATTAATGAAATAAGATTGTTGCCTCTTGTTTAAATCAATATTATAAGTTAGTTTGTTACTTTATTTTTTGCCATTTGTGTTTTCTCTGTTTGGGGGTTTTCTTATAGGCTAGGTTTAGTTTTTCTTTTATTCGATTAATTTTCTTTGTTTAGGAAATGGGTGATGAAATTATTGATTTAACGATTGAGGATGGCAGTGTCTGGTCTCCGGCTCCTGAGGACACTGCGTATGAGAGGCTGAAGAGCTACTACTCAACAACATATATCAATGCAGCAACCTCTCCAAAAATTTTCTCCTCCATGATTTGCTTCTTAAGAGCAATTAACTTTGCATGGAAAACCCTTGCAATTAAATCTGGCCTATTTTGGGCAAGCTCTCCAGGAGCAAGTTCTTGTTTAATCTCTGGCCAATTAGGATTGCATGTAATAGTTATGAACAAATCTGATTTTCCAAACCGCTGCACCAAAGTTATTGCATTCAAGTATCTACTACGTAAATCTCTAGGACCACCCAAAAAAGAAGGGGGTAATATGACATAATGACCCACATTTGCAGAATTATTTTCTCCGCTTTCAAAACAATCAAGAATTCCCTGATAAAGATCAGCACGAATGGCAGCTTGATTTTGACGGAAAAAATCCAGTCTTGTGTTCTCTAGCTTTACATACATGTCAACTATATATTGCTGCAGCAATCGTGCAGCACGCAGTAAATAGTTCCCCTGTCTTATTTGCAACTTATATGCATAATACTCTCTACAAGAAATCTTCTGCACTTTTTTCCGCTTGCCATTAGTTATATTTGTATTATATACATAAAATATAAAATTAACAATCACAACAAAATAGGCTTTTTAGCTAATAAGCTCATGAATGAGAACTAAATAAAAAAATTAGTATAGTTTAACACATAAATATTCCTAATGAAATACTCATTAGCTGACTGCAAAGAGTATTAATACTTATATAGTAACATAAATAAATAAACACTTATTAGGCCAAAAAGAAGCACAAAAAATAGAAAATGATGACTCACTTGCTTCTTCTTCAGCCAGTATATCCTCCAAACTGTTCATTGACTTTAGAGGGCAAACTTCTTCCTGCAAGTGTCTGCTACTGGTAGTTCCATTTATTTTTTCTAGACCCTCATGCCATCCACTGTCTCCATGCGGATACAACAGAGGATATTGAAGAGGATCATAGCACCCATAATAATGCTTAATTCGATGAGGTTTATCTGTCTCCTTTCGACCATAAGCAACAATATGAACACTGCTATATTTGCTAGACGATGTTTCTTCTGACCATATGACAGCCACCTCATTTGCAGTTGGGGCATTGTAAACTCTCTGGTCAAGAACTGGATTCCGGTTCAAATGAATTTCAGTGCTTTCAACAACAGGAATATCCCTCAGTGAACGGAAAAACTGAGCATATGGATTGCACTCCATTATCTGCATAAGGAGCTCAACTATTTCTTGCTGCACTTGTGGAAAGGTAGATGTACGATTCCTGATCTCATGCTCTGCATCATAGAAATACATCTGCAGATACTTGGGGCGCGTATCATGAGGTAATAAGTCAGGAAGATTATGATATATCTGACCGTGCAACTTGAATACATATATTACTTTCTTAGTATCAGCTTTAACGGATCCCCCCAAGGAAGTAAATGCAAATAGATTATTATACATGCGACAATACTCTCTAAAATGATCGCTTAATTTATCCTTAGAAGTAAAAAGCCAAATCAACTATGGTGGCCATGGATTTTCAGCCAACTGGACACCACCATTCCGACAGCAAAAGAACAATGGCTCATAGGCAAACCTTTTTGCATAACACTTAGAACAGAATGTAGGAGCAGACAGCTTAAGAGCTTCAGTAGGTACATCTCTATCACATATCAAGGCAATAGCTTCAACTGATACATAAATAGAATATGTGAACAACAGTAATTGAAACTGATCATTGAAACTAATTATGGTTATTTAAAGAAAGAAAAAATTCTGTGAATACCTCCATTTTGCTGTTTTGTTCTTTGGCCACGTTTTTTAGGATCTTTTGAAGTCTTATGAACATCAGTTGTGGCCTGGTCAAGGTCACTCAAATTAATTCCAGGCTCTAAACCCTTTAAACGCTTGGTGTTATACTGTGTACAACTTGATCTAACACAACGTGTACCAGCATTAATAGAAGCTTCAGAACGTTTTGATTTACGTGTTGCTACTGCAGGCGAACTTGGCAGGCATTGCACTACAGTCACAGGTTGCTTTGCAACAATAGGAAACTCTGCATCCTTAGTTTTATGCTTTACTAATTTGCACGATCTAATCTTCGATTCTGCAGCAAGTATTTTTGCATTACAAACTAAAGCTATAAAGAATGATCACCCTCTATATATGGAATGGGATATTAATATTTTGAGCTATCCAAATGAACATATGCTCTTTTTCAAATATCTTCTTACTAATTGTAAACTAACACATGCATATGCATATAAAAGCATAGAATGTATCCATATATTAATTACTAAAAAGCATGTGTAGAGATTAGAACCCATGTTTTAGACTTGGCATGAAAGCATCTTTCAATTCATTCTCTTTGACATGTAGTATGTGATGTAATTCTGCAAAAGCCCACGCCTTTGCTGCAACATAGTACGCATTATCTGATATAACCCTGTAAACGCCCACAGCCCAAAGAATTGTAGTTATAGTTTTACCACAACAATACAGAAGCTAAATGTAAGATGACACTGTTTATACTCAGCAAAATAAGGTAGACTTTACCATTACATTAGGATATTCATGTTGCAAAATCTAAGATCAGATTTGCAACACACATGTTCATAACATCTAGTTACATACTATAGCCTAAAGTACACTAGTAGAAAAAGGCTCATTTGCGTCACTCATTTATAGTGTATTTGCGACGCAACTGCTCGCGACGCAAATGATTTAAAAGTCATTTGCGTCGCTCCTAGGCGCGACGCAAATAAGAGTCATTTGTGTCGCTCCTTTATAAAGGAGCGACGCAAATGACTCTTATTTGCGTCACTCCTTTATAAAAGAGCGACGCAAATGACTCTTCTGATAAAATTCTTTTTTGTTATTTGCGTCACTCCTTTATAAAGGAGCGACGCAAATGACTCTTCTGATAAACTTCTTGTTTGTTATTTGCGTCACTTGTTTATATAGGAGTGACGCAAATGACTGACTAGACAATACAAAATTGTTGTATTTGCGTCACTTGTTTGTTTAATGGGTGACGCAAATGAGGTGAATTTTTTTTTTTAATTATAATAATTGCCTTGTATATGTTTGTAGTACCTGTTTTCCTCACTAGTGGTATAAAGTAATATGCTAACGCTAATATAATTGAAATTAAAATGCAATATTATTGAATAATACAAATGTAAATTTCGGCAGAATCTCCTTTGTAATTTGGCCTACCCATAAAATTGGGAATGACGGCATTATATTAACAACCTGTCCAATAATTTACATCTCAATATCATAGACATTATACTCATCATCCCAACACCAATTAACCAAATTTCATTTCAAGCCTATAATCCAAAACAAGAGTCCAACATGCGCTAAGTTTACAACAAAACAATATTGACCTCTTCATCATTAATTAATAAGTATAACACAAGCACCAAACCAACCCAAATGTTGGTAAATCAAATGCGTTCATTTCAAGCCTAAGAACTATAACAAAATAATCCAATAAATAATATGGAATTTGAAGCCAGCGTAATTCAATTTAGGGACAAAATCTTGATTTTCCCTAACACGATCGAACAAGTCCATAATGGAAGTCCACTTCCTTTTTCTCTTGCAAACAGTTTAAATAAAGTCACCAGTTCCTGATATCAAATACAATTAATCAATAAACAATCAGAGTTGAGAATGAAGGATCAAAGCAACAAAATAATATTCTACAATTATTTAAACAACTACATTACCTTTCCAAGAAAATACTAATAGTTGTTCCTCTAATTAAGTATACTAGCAGAGGAATAAAGGATTGATGCCAATTATTTGCAAAACCTCTTAATACAAAAACCAAGAATGGCATTTATACGATTCGATCAGGATTTTCTTAATACAAAAACCAAGAGGGCCACCAAAATTAAGGCATTTTCTTTGGAGTGCCGTGAAGGGGAATATGGCAGTGAAAGATAGACTAAGGTATCGTCACATTACAACTGACGCTACTTGCCAATTATGTGGTGTGAATGAAACAATTTATCACACTCTATTTGAGTGTGTTGTTGCAAAGGAAATTTGGCATTACAGTGAGTACAAAACCAACCTGGAAGATGCGCCAAATGATAATTTCGCGGAGCTATGGTTATGGCTTTGTAAGAAATATGATGCAGAAGTAGTTTGTTCTATGGCCGCACTGATGTGGGCTGCTTGGAGAGGGAGGAATTTAATCATGTTTCAAGGTGAGAATCCGAATAGTGTGCTGCTGGCTGCGGGGTTTGCAAGGATAGTTCATGATTACAATGGCTATGCTAAAAAGGTTCTGCTGCCCCCCTCTGTTCTGAGACAAAATGATGCTGCTACAAGCTGGAAGAAACCGTGCCTTGGGTGTGTTAAAGCAAACTCAGATGCTCATATTCTTGAGGGGTGTAAGGCAAGGCTAGAAGTGGTCGTTTATTTTTAACAAAACGGCCTGGTAAAATTATTTCAATACAAACACTATGTCATAGTTTATCTTTTCACGGCCAAGTATATCATGGAACATTTTTTAGCTAAGAAAAAATGGGAAAGAGCTTCTCTTAGTAGTAGCAGGGGAAAAATCAACCAGAATGAGCAGCAAAACATAAAAATTAAAAAAAAATAATAAAAAAAAACAGTCAGATTTAAAAAACTGTAAAATGAGCAGCAAAACATAAAAGAAAATACAGTCAGATTGGAGAAAAATCAATAAAATAGTAAAATCAAAATTCACCAAATCAACTACATAAATTCACCAAAACAGAACCAAAATAGTGAAATCAACTACATAAATTCACCAAAACATAACCAAAATTCCTTAGAATCGAGTATAAATCCTATATTTGATGAACCCTAAATTCGAATATGAACCCTAAATTCGAATATGAACCCCAAAAAGCTGTTATTTATAAGCATGCTTGTAAAACTAGAATTCGTGCAAAAAACAACAACAAAATAGGTAGATTAAACTAAGTTAATTTACAATTGAATCCAAATATCTATGTAGATTGAAGTGCATGATAAAAAAGAAAAGAGATGAAGAGGTCTTACCTTGCTTGAAATCGATTTTGCATATGCAACTTCAGCAACAATAGAGCCAAAATTCCATATTATTGAGTACAAACCCTAACTTTCAATTGTTATTTTGCTCAAATTTAATTAAGGTAATTTGCTCGATTTTTTGCAATTGAATTTCGTGGGGATTTTGGGTAGATTTTTTGCAAGAAAGTAGGGGATTTTTGCTCGGATTTGCTCGAATATAAGGGGTTTTGCCTCACATTTGCTGGGATTTTTTATTAGTGGTCAAATTGGTAGGTTATGAAGACGAATTTCTCGAGGTATTACTCTTAATTCGCTGACGTTTAGGGGGTTGAACAGCAGCAAAGCAGCAATGAGGAATTCAGGGGTTTTACCGATCAATTTTTTGGGGTTTTGATGTTGAATTTCTGGGAATTTTGGGGTTGAATTTTCTAGGGTTTGGAGTATTGAAGTTCGAACAGCAGAAGGCAGCGAGAATTAATATAAGTCGTAATGGTCATTTGCGTCACTCAGTAAAGAAAGAAATGACGCAATTGACTCACAAAGGTTATTTGCGTTACTTGTCAATAAACGAGTGACGCAAATAACATTGTTATATGCGTCGCTCCTACTTATAAAAGCGACGTAAATATAAATAAGTTGAAATATGTTTGACATTTGCGTCGCTTTATAATAAATGCCCGACGCAAATTACTTATAAGGTTGTCAAAATATCTTATTTGCGTCATTTGTTTCTATGAGTGACACAAATAAGGCGACGTAAATGAGCATTTTTCTACTAGTGGTAGTTTCATTTTGGCTAGGAAATTGAAAGTCTTAATAGAAATACATTTGTGCAGCTAATATTCTTTACTGATCACCAGTTAGCATCAACAACTGGCCAAAAAACACGAGACAAACATCATCCAAAGCTAAGGTCAAAATAAAGCTCCACAACCAAGTAGAGATTACTGAGCAAACTAAAACCACACTGGATGCCCAAAAAGTGGCTAGCTATTCAACATCCAGGCATCTACCCAATCTTCCTGCACTTAAAGACAATCTCAAGCTCCCCAGGAATACTCCGCATAACCTTTCCAGTCCCAACAGCAGAAGTGGAAGGAGCTCCAAATGATGGTCGTGACACACGCTTCTTAGGAGGGCGTGGAACAGCAATTTGAGCAGGGATACTTGCTTCTTTACCATCAGGAGTGACACATTGGTCCTCAGTACCAGCAGATAACACTTCGCCTTGAACTGCAGCTTGTTGTTTGCACACCTCCTCAGTCAATGTCTTCTCTTTCTCAAGAATGGAAAGGGCACACTTTATAGAATGGCGACCAGAATTTGCATCAACTATATTGAAATTGTAGTTGTAAGACAGCAAATATATCACTTTCTTCGCCACACTCTGCTCTGCAACTTCAGGCTCAGGACGTACATCGCCAAATATGCATTCAGGTAAATCTTCACTTGGATAGAAAGTCACCACAGTCCAAGCAAAGTACTGCTCACCACTAAATTCAACAGTCACAATTGGAGTCATAGCAGCACCAGTGCGTACCAACACGACCTTTAAGTATGCTTTATAAACAATGGCAACAGAATACACAGGCAGGTGAGATCTGTAATCAGGAATAGACTCATTGGCAGGCTCAGTTCCATGTCCAGTTGTAAGTCGTAACTGGCGTCGCTTCATTCTGAATAAAATGGCACATCTCCTGTAAGTTCGAATTCTATCAGCAGTAAAATCATCAACAGCTACATCATACAAATCCATCAACCCATGAATTGCCTTTTCTGCAGCCTTTTCAGATGCTTTCCTTAAGCTCCCTGCTCCCTCACCATTGAAAACACAGGTCTGCTGACCATTTTTCAACTTAATCCTAACAGAAACCTTGTTTGAGGTAAAATCATCAATTACATAAACCGGTCTTTCAAGGCCTATACAATCAGTAATCTGCTCCAGCAATGGCTGAAGAGGAATGGAAATTGTTGCAGTCATTGACGCCTTAACCTGTGTAATGCAATAAGCCATAGGGATTTGTTTATGATGATTTTTAAGTACCTAGTATGCACAACAATAACACTCTTCCTAGCTTTTCTCACTCAGCATTTTAAAACACAAACACTCTACATAAAGATCCTACAACCTCTCATAATACTGGTCATGCAGCATTTTAAATTCCAATTCATCTTGCTAATACCATACCCTTCATCAATTTCATAGACTTAATCAACTCTAATTAGAAGAGATTCTTCCCATGATACTAAATATGTCCCTAAGATCATAACAAATATTGACCAACACATGGAACAAAGATATTCAGCATACTATAATTATCATGCCTTAAAAAAGATTTCTATGTAATAGCATACAATTGCAGAACAAAGTTAGCAACTTAAGACCAACATGTTCAGCAAAATAAGAATATTTACAATTCACCAACCAATATCAAACTTTACATGGAGGAACATCCACAACACAATAATACTATAAATAATTCAGCAACCAATATCACACTTTACCCATAATACAGAATATAATATCAATGAATCTTATGATAGTAACATACTAGCAGACTTAGAACACGTTTGATCAACCTGATCGCACTGAATTATACCCTATGACAAAGCTACAAATACAATGGAAAAGAAGAATTATTGTTAGAAAATGGCAAATTCAAGCAACACATGATTTGTTTTTTTCTTTTTAACCACATAGATAGAAAATTAAACACAACAACACAACTAAATCGAGAGCCATCATAATATTATAACAAACAGATTCTCCTAAGAATTGGGAAAACAATAAATCACAGGAAAATCCTTCAATAATCCTTCACTTGAAAGATTTGCAGGATTTTCCCGTGAATATTCATTGTAAATAATAGATTATAGGCCAACATTGTAAAAAATAAATCAGAAGAAAATCCTTCAATAATAGGCCAACATTGTAAACAATAAATCAGAATAAAATCCTTCAATAATAAGCCAACATTGTAAACAATAAATCAGAGGAAAATCCTTCAATAAGATTATTCATAGATAATAAAGAAAATCCTTCAACATAGAGCTATAGAAAAAACCAACACAACAATACAACCATGAAACAACAATTCAAGTGAAACCCAAGAGTTATTACTCAAACATCACAACAAAATTAAAACATGAACAATGAACACCGGCACTAAAGAAAATTATTATGTCCAAAGCATGATTTCAAGAGAAAGTCCAATCTTTGTAGCACATTGAATGTTGTCCAGAATGTCCAGATCATGCCTTATTCAAGTTCAATAATCAAGTTCATTTTTTTAAGCTGCATTACATAACAATGAATCAAAATTGACACTGCTAATCAGCTTAATGACAAAACAACCCACCACATAATTTCAAAGACTTTCTATGTGCTCTAATTATTGTTATTATGTATTTATTATTTACTATTTATTATTAATACAAAAGCTTAGAATAGAATCATACCAACGAAAACCAATAAGAAGAAGAAAGAACCATACAAAGCCTCTTAATAAAACCAAGGTATATATAGAAGAAGATGGCCAAGTATACCGCAAAGGGGCCTCCATTAAAAAATGTATTAAAGTTGTACACAAATGTACTAAGCAAGACAATGTTGCACCAAACAAGGAAAGCCTCTCACTGTTCAGTGAACAGTTGAGGCATGGGCAAGCCACCCTAGCACTAAGCAGCCACCCTAAGTCCCTAACTGTACCCTTCACCATATTCTATAATTTATCCCCAATTTACGTGCACAAATGTAATCAAGCACAAAATCAGACACTAAATTCCCCTTAATGCCTAATCAAGCAAGTATACATTCCTAACCAATCTAAATTAATTTGTCCTAATTATTAATACATGATATTAATTAATTCATTTCTAACCAATCTAAATTAATTAGCTACATTTCTAACCAATCTAAATTATGCCTCATTTTTGCGTGATAATAATACTAATTAATCACTCGTAAGGGAAAATGAAATTGATTATCCCAAATTCATTGCCATTTATGTGCTAAAATAAAATAAAAATAAAATAAAAATGATGTTGATTAATAAACCGTAATCATCTTGATGCAAATGATCATTCTATTAAGTTTATAGTTCAAATAGGGTATGATTTTAGTTCGCCAATTTAGATTTGAACAATTGAACAATTAAACCTAAGCAAGTTTGTAATTCAAGCAGTGTGTACCTTTATTTCATCAATTTCGATTAATAATCCATTTTAACAATGAGTATTAAATGTGATTATCAATCACAATGTCAGGAATAAATCACAATGTCATGAATAATTGAACAAGCAGTATACGATTGTAGCTAATTAATTAAACTTAATCACAATATCATGAACATTTAAACTTATGCAATAAATAACTAAATTAACATCAACGTTATCATGAACACAAATGAATATTATGAATCCCTTTATAAATTAACATCAACGTTAACAAAATTTTTAAACTTTGTTAATGAATATTATGCATTATAAATTAACATTAACAAAATTTTAATATTATGCATTGTAAATTAACATTAACAAAATTTTTTAAAAAGTATAAAATTGTTCATGCTAATAGTGATTATTAAACTTGATTATAAATCACTAATTAAATGAACATATAATCGCAATAGTGAGCATTAACCATTGTTCATTGCCAAGGAAGTTGATAGTTGAGCATAAATTTGCCAAGTCACCAAATGTCACAAAATGAGAATGGAATGACATTGAAATGCAAGTTGGTCAAACTCTCCCATTTTGCAACTTAGGAATAGTGAAATTTCATTGACTTGTGACTCATATCACTATTCCTTTCATTTGGAGAAGTTCCCACTTTTTAAAGGGTTATAGATTGGTAGTTATTTTTAATTTCAACAAAAATGAGTGTTTATTCCAACATAGTGCAAAAATTTCTTACGGAGTATTATGCATTTATGCCTATGCGAATTAAAATCTGAATCGATTTTTTTTAATTAATTTCGGATCGTGACAGACTTTGACACCGTGCCGTGTGTAACCAGCTTTTTGCAATAAATTAGAAAAAAAAAAAAGTGAAGAGAGAGTGAGAGAAATAGTATAGTATAACAAAAATGGAGTCATCAGCAAAATGGGTAGTGAATGAAGATGAACTATTGGCATGTTGTGGTAGTACTAAGTTCGCCAAACATATGGCGGCTTTATCCTCTTTTTCCAATCTTCATCATGCTGTTGAATCTGCTACTAACATCTGGTTCAATCAGGTCTCAATTTTTCTCAATTTCTTCTATTATTAACCAATTTTGCTTGATTTTTTGGTTAATTATAAATTATTTGCAGGTTGATGTTTATGGGTGGCTTGAAGCTTTCTCAGCTCATCCTCAGATTGGTCAATCTCCTTCTTCTTCTCATGTTGGTGAGACTTTTGCCCAGTTGAGTCTTTTTTCTCTCTCTCTTTGATTATTCAGATTAGCTTTTTTCTGGGTTCTTGCTGATTTGTTTATTTTTAGATGATTATGATGTTGTAATCAAATATATAGTTTGATCAGTAGACTTGTTAATTTGGATTAATGAGGATTGAAGGGATGAGGATAAACTTTTTATGCAAATCAAGTGGCAATTTTGTGATGAAATTGATAAATTAGCAAAATGGATTGACTATACGGTCTGTATAGTTGTATACTTGTATTTCTAGTATTCTTCAGAAAAATTGATAAATGTCAATTTTATTTAAAAACATAAATCTTTATGCTATGTGTTATATTATTTACATAGCCACAAAAATCTTGATGCGTTTCGATTCTTTTGAATGTTTATCTAGTAGATGAGCGGGATTTTCACTTGGATTGAGGATCAAATCATTCATAAGATTAGTTTTTTTTTTTTTTGTGTGTGTTCGAGATAAGCCTTGAAAGTGAAGGGTTTGATGGGGTTTATGCTGCTTATACCCTTTCACATTGAGCAAGATTATGTATGGTTGGCATGATCACAAGATGAATTTTGCATGATCTCTTGGGTTTTACATTTACGTTTTTGTTCCCATTTTGTTTTATGTATCCAGTAATTTTTTTACTTTAATAATCTCACTCTGTAGGTGGAGCAAGGGAGAGCAGTCAACTGCTATGAAATCGGCTACTTCCACTACATTACAGGTATATGTATTAATTTGTACGAACTATGAAGTATATAATATTTTAATTGACAATGTTTTGAGTTACAGTTGACAAACATAGTGATCTTAGCTTATGATACATACTTGCATACTGGGATTGGGCAGTTGTGCATGAAAATTGACTATATAATTGGTTATTTGTACTACATATCTATGAGTCCTATGACCATTCAGTCAATTTCTACTTATTGTTCCTAATCACGGTCCTTGTCTTTATTGAAGCTGTGAACATGTCAAACACATAGACTACATGAGTGAAGCATAGGTTTACTCGTGGTTTCCGTACTTGTGTTGTGCAGGAACTGACTGATTGGAATGCCCGGTATAAGCAAAAGTTTGGATTTGTCTTTCTTATATGTGCATCTGGGAGAAGTACTGCAGAAATTCTAGCTGAGTTGAAGGTGATTTTTTCCTAGTATGAGGAAGCTTTTCTATACAGTAAATTTCATAAATTTGAATGTTAATTATTATCTGAATATATTTTGGATTTATAGCAACATCTTAAATTTCATCTGATCTTCTATTCTGAATTCTAAGGCAAATCCGACTTAGTTATGTAATTATTCCATTGTTAGGGAAGATAATGTTGCATTGCTTGATTCTTTATATTTACTAGCATTTGATTAAGTCGATATCTTGCTGAAACTATATTACATCATATTTCCCCAAGCTTCAAACTTCATATGTTTGTATAGCAATGGCACTTTGCTTAAAGATTTCTGTAGATCTGGATGCCTATGAATACTTTAATAAGAGAAAGAGGAACAACTTCACCTTTGATGATATGGATGTAGCATATAGGTGAACAAATGGAATTTTTTTTTTTTTTTGTGGGATTGGGGGAGGGGTCGCTTGCTAAAATTGATACAAGTATGGACGTTTTCTTGTTCCTGAAGTGAGGCTTACTTTTGCTACTATCATATACCTAGGCTGTAATACATTTTATGGGATTATCTTTTAGAGTACGTGCTAAGTGCGTGTCATAATCTAACTGACTGGAACTCAGGGAAAAAAAAATACATTTTTGACTTACTTGAGTATGAAACTTTGGAATTAATGATTGCACACTATATTACTTGGACTTGGGTATGGCCATACAAGAGCGAAGAGACCGGTCCAGGAACACATCCAAATTATAAGTGTTAGTCATACTGAGGTTCTAAGCCTCAGACACCGTGACCTTGTCCTAGAATTGGACACATGTGCAGGGACATGGCATTCTCAAATATAGTCCTTATTAACAAAGATTTTTGCATGTCTTTTCACATTATAAATACAGATTTACTTGTTTGCCAGTTCTGGTCAAAATTCTGTCTCAAACTTCCTATAGAATGGATAATTAAAGAATATGGTAGAGAAAAGAAACTAGCTGGTGAGAGTGAATTCAAAGTTTTTCTCGATATTGTGGATCAAGCTAAATGTGGTGTCTGGATGAAAACCTAACTGTTGGCTAAGAATTCATATCCTTGTCAGAGATAAGTGTCTGACAGGGCTATGGCTTATGTTTTAATGAACATTTTTATTCCTGAAAGTTGTGTCTACATGATGTACAAAAAAATGTAGTTTTCATCTGCAAAATAAAGCACTGGTTATTCTGAAAATGGAGTAAAGTTTCTGGATAGACGTTAAGCTGGTTAAAGGCTACTCGTGGCAGCATTCTTCCTTCTTTTTAGGGTGGCAAATTTAAGTCGTTAATTTAATGTTGATGACTCTTGTTAACTGATTGCAGAGACGCTTCTCAAACAGGCCTGTAGTGGAGCTTGAAATAGCAGCTCAGGAACAGATGAAAATTACAGAACTGCGTCTTGCCAAACTTTTCTCGGCAAAATCAAGCACTGATGTGGCTACCGAATATCAACCTGCATCCATCACCACAAAAGCTAATGGTAATGTTTTATTAGAAATGCTTTAATAGTGATGTTGTAGCTACTTTTAAATGGCAACTGTAAGCTTACTAGCCCATGTGGCAGAAGTCTTTGTGGTGCCTTCAAACTAATACACTAACACATTTTGACGCAACTAAGATTGATTAAAAGAAAGAATCCAAGTACCAAAGTTTTGAGAAAAGGGAGAAAGACTGTGTCAAGCTAAATTCTGAGTTGCTTTAAGCATTTAAGACTAAGTGGCTTGAAGAAAAAACCCGAACCTAATATGCTTTCAAAGCTGCCCAGCTTTCCAGGTTAGAGAGGTTCATGACTTCCAGTTATGGTTAATCATTGAAAGTTTGTAACTAACCATGTTTTTATTTTATTTCAATATACCCTTATATGCTTGTTTTTTCAAGGGAACCACTTTTAAGTGCTGATTTGTTGTGGGATAGGATGGCTACTTAGCTTCTTTGTGAGTTAAGACAGCAGGAAAATTAAAAAGTTACGAGGATAACTAGTCCTCCGCTCTTTTACATGCTGCTACTTGCTCAATGACAAAAGTTTCTCTTTATATAAGAGAGTAAATTTATTTTCTCAACCTATGAATATGTGTGTATTGATCCTACATTGTTCAATAATTTATAACATCTATCACAACACCTATTAATCCAATACAGCTACTTTTTAATCCAACTGTCTTTCTTCTGCAAGTGTCAAACTTCACTACATTTTATTGGGCATGGCCCAAGTTATATATCAATCATGTTGTGTAGAATACTCTTGTCCTTCTGCAACTGTCTTTCTTGATGCTTGCTTATTTGTGTGCTATTATTGAACATGTAGAAGATCGCCTGAGCATGATCAATTCTCATCTCATCTCTGCATCTGATTCTTTCGGAGAGAAAAAAACTCAAGCTCCTAAGAGGAACCGGCCACCCATCACAACCCATGTCCTCGATATGGCAGGTGGTCATCCCGGGGCAGGGATTGAAGTACAGTTAGAGGCATGGAGGGGTCCAGAGCCTCGCCCTTCATTTCCCGGATCAGATCCAAGTGGCTGGACTCTGGTGGGATCTGGTAAGACAGACAATGATGGTAGAAGTAACCCGTTAATGAACATTGTTGATGCAGTAAATCCTGGTACATACAGGATTAGCTTCAACACAGGCAAGTACAACCCCTCAGGGTTTTTCCCTTTTGTCTCTATAGTGTTTCAGATCACAGAGTCACAAAAGTTTGAGCATTTTCACGTGCCACTGCTGTTAGCTCCTTTCGGGTTCTCAACTTATCGTGGAAGCTAGGAAATTAAACTTATGAAAACTGTAATTGCTGAGGATTGGAGGGGAAATTGTTTGTTTTCGTTTTGCTAATAATGTATCCCACTCCGTAAAACCTCAGCACCTCATTCAGAAAGCAATTAGCTAGGTCTGATGTATACACTATATGTATGGGATTTTTAAGCGTTTGTTGCATTTAAGACTGTAAATTGATAAGGACAAGAGACACGCAATAAATGACTATCTAGTCAAAGATTATACAAGTAGAAGCTATTATCAATCTTTTTTATGCAGATTTCATAATATGTTGACCATGACTATACAAAACACGGGAAATCTGATTATTTTGTTTACTTTTTTTTTTTTTGACAAAATTTTATATCAAAGAACATTGATTTTAAGAAAAATCTCCATTCAAAGATATTGCTATGCAATATACAGATTATACACCTACCCTCCTTACAATAAGAGCCTAAGAGCCTATGTGCGATTCGTCACGGGATCAAATCTTTCCACCCCTATTTGTAATTGATATGTAGGAAGTATTGTTGTGTGTTCATATTGAAAAAGAAAAACATGATTCAAAAATTTCTGTCAAAGTCAATATAGATCTATAATTTGACCAAGTCTTTAGAAGTAAAATAGGTTTGAGTCTTCTCTTGAATTTTTACTGTTATGGAGTACTTATATTGTTTAATTGGTGATAGCTTAGTTGAAGTCTTGAAGATAACCAGTTGCTCTTATAATATAAAGATGTGATAACTACTCTGATAAGTATGTGATAAATTACACATTCAGTAGTTGACTGATGAAACTGAGAAGTCTTCCCCTCAAATTTCTTATTAGCTGATTATCAAGTCTAAAATATTGTGCAATTGGTGCTATGATGCTAAAAACACTAACCTACCCCCATTTGAATATCATAATCACAATGTTAAAACATTAACAAGGAAAATGCTATTTGTAACCTTTAGGGCTACATATAAGCATTAAATGTACACTAGAAATCGTATAAATTTAGGAAATTATAAAAATATAAACACTAATTACACTGATTTTACGCGTGTTTTTGTCTAAAAATGAAAATTTCACAATGCATGTTATAATTAGAATGTTACGAAGTAATTTTTTTAGTTAAATGTTGTACTGTACTATAATCCTTATTTTAATCTCATGGCTCACTAAAATTTTCTCCTTATAACTCGATCTCACCCCCTATTTAAATGTATTAAATTATATACTACCTTAACGGTATTATTGTAAATAATATACTTGTAATACTTCGTATTATTGTACTCGGTACTAGTGTTACATCTCTGTTAAATTTCGAAACAATATGAAATGGGTCTAGGCAACCCGAATAAGGAGGAGGAGAGTTTGGTCCACAAACAAGGCTTTGGAGCTTCCATACTAAAACCAATTGGCAATAGTAGGAGTAACTCCTCTACCTTATAAAGTGGAACCACCTCTCCTCTTTCTCCAATGTGGGATACTCATAAATGGGATACAATGGGTTTCAACAATGACTAAGTACTGTATTTTTATTTTAATTTTTTTAATTTTTGGACTTTGTGATTTATTAATTAACCCCGTAATTCCCGTCAAAAAAAAAAATTAACCCCGTAATTATTAAAAAAAAAAAAAAAAGACATCATTTATATGTTTTCTGTCAAGACCAATAAAAAAAAATTGATTTAGAAGTTTAATCTGTGATAGCTTAGTTGGAGATAACCAATTGCTCTTATAATAAAATTTGGGATAAGATAAACACGTTCGATAATTGACTGACTAATTAAATTAAACTGATTAGATACACCTCCCATCCTTCCTCAAAGCTTGGGTTTTCTGATTACGATAATTTACAAAGTCTAATTAATGTGCAATTTGAAGCTATAATGCCAAAAATACTAACCTAACCCATTTGGAAGCATTGTGTATATGGTGTTTTGTGTTACTATTTAAATAGTTAAGTTGGGATGGAAGATGTTATAGGGTAGATTGGTTAATGTGTTGTGGTTGGCCAATTAGAAAATATCTATGAATCAACTTATTTATTTATTTTTGTTTTTAAAAAAAAAGACCTGTAATCAATCAAATTTCCACCCCTTAGAGAAACAACTCCATTAAAAATTTGCGAGCCTATGAATGATTCTTATACTCAATCAAATTTTTTTTTTTTACAGACAAACTATACCAAAATAAGAGACTATCTAATAAACAGGACTAGATCGCACTCGTTACAAGCGTCTATTTTATACGACAAATGAGGTTTCATAACAAAATCACATAGCAATGAGAAGAGTAGCCCTTTAACCTTATAAAATAGGCACAACTTTTTTCTGTTCTCTAATTTAAAATACAACATCCGAATATTTCTCTTTATTTTACGCTTTTTAAATATAGGATCTATTTCCATTCACATGTGCATTTGCTTATCATGGGCTCAACATGTGAGGTATGTGACATTAAAATGACAGAGGAATCTACGACAAACTTTATTAAAGGTGTGAAAGGATACTTAAAGTAAAAATACGGGGTACATTTTATTAGGAGGAAAGGACAACTTTGCTCTAGTAAAGAAAAGTTAGCTAACGTATAGGATTGTGTCATTTCTATGTTTGTCAAAAATTGAGTAAAAGATAGCCAGATTCTCTTATACAAATCGGTGATAAGTGATATGGAAAAGAAATTTGTTGACGTCCTCAAATTGACTACTTATCATTATTCCAGCTGTTGTTTTCATAAACTACTTAAAAGTCATTTGAAAATAAAATACCATTGAAGCTGGAACGCAAGATCGAACTAATTGGACTAACTAGTTGTGAAATTGCACCAATTATAATCATGCATGTATTTACTTTAAATGTTTAATCTTAAGAAAAAAAATAATAAGGTGACAAGTTCGAGCTTCATGCCACCAACTATATATGTTCGGAAGTAAGGAAAGATAAATTCACTTTTCTCAAGCGATGATTTTTATAGGACTGAATTTGTGAGAATTACTGATTCAATAAAGTCCCTATACATTTTTCTTTGAATTTAATCAGTAACTTAAACTAGATTGATACGGAAGTATAGGAAAAGTAGTGTGGATTGATCGATAGATTCACATCTTTATCATAACCTACCTTAAAAATGTATGACTATATTGAGACATATTTATGAATTAGTATTACTAATGGAAAAAATATATTGAATAGTGAGTAGGATTTGAAAAAAAAAATATGAGGAGAAGACTGCTAAATGCTTATGACTAGCAACTACTATATTTAGTAAAATCCAAAAAAATTCATGGACTATATTATTTACTAGTACAAATTGAAAGTCTGATTGTCTGTAAACTAAACGTCAACTTTCAAAATGCTTACTCATTAGCGCATGGACAATTGTATGGTTGATGAGTTGATGAAATCTCGCAATAAAATTATATTGGTTTGAAACTTTGAATTGATTACAAGTTGCATATATGGTGACGAATACTATACTTGTACAATTTCGGATATTCACTTCATCTTATTCCAACAACTTATAGATTAAAATTAGATAAGATTAATACCTTAATTATTTAGTGGCAGGATTATTTTAGTGATGGTTAGTGTTTTTGACTAGGTTAAAATATTAGTTGGAAAAAAAAAGAGTGTTTGAGAATAATATGTAGACACGGAAATGAGTTGGTCTGGATGGGCACGATAACCAGTTAGGCACGACATGAGCCCGTCATAAGTCCAGCATAACAACACATACAAAGAAGCATGCTGGTGGGCCATTATTTTAGTAATGGTTAGTGTTTTTGACTAGGTTAAAAATATTAAATGGAATTCACAGGAGTGTTAACAATGATATATATATATGGATTTGAGATGGGATGACACAAAAACCGGTTAGGCACAATATGATAATGGTCTGACTCGGCATGAGCCTATCATAAGTCTGATACGACGACAAGACATGCAAAGAAGCACGTTAATGGATCATGACTATGTATGAACATCATTTTCAACATATGGCATGAACCTAGACACAAGCACAGTAAGTTAGACGTCGGCTTGTTTATTTTTAACCAATTTTACAAATATATATGTATACTACTATATATACTTATTAAGGGACCCGCTGACATGACATGTGAGTCAGGTCGTGCATGAGCTCTAATTTGAAAGATAGGCACGAGTCCGATACGACACGACTAATTTTACACAAGTCTAGGTATGACCATTGAGCACGAGACGCATTGACACGACGGAGCCCATACTCGGCCACCTTTAACAATATACTTGTAATATATACCCGTTAGTCTAATAGAGGCAACGTTTCTCAAACATGAAATATATTATCATGCCAATTCCATTGCTACTTTTATGCAGAGGTGAAGAATTGTTGTTGGTGAGCGCATGTGTGGTTGTAAGCCGGCATGTAGCTTCTAAATCGACGGCTACCAAGGGGGATGTTTTAAGATCGTAAATAGGAAAGCCTGAAAAGGTGAACGTTGTGCTTTCTAACAAGGTGCTAATTTTGGCCCCATGTTAATTTGCCAGTTTGCCACTGATGATGTGAAAATTGATTTAAACTGTTGTCGTCTAGTCGATGATCAGATGCATAAGCAACCTACATATGAAATAAAGTTTACACATGAATAAGAAAACACTTTTATACACTACTTTAAGGTTACCAAAAGGCTAAAAGGGTGTGTTCATTTCAACTTAATTTCAGTTCAGTTTATTTTCATTCACTTCAACTCTTAATTTGCTTCTTTTATAAAATATTTATTTTTCAACTTTATTCACTTTAGTTCAGTTCAATTCAGCTCAGTAAATGTAAACAGGCCCTAACACAAAGTTAATTAATTAAGAAGAATCTTAGTAATATGGATTACTTCTACTTCTTTTGTTAAGATAGTGAGTACTTGATACCAGTATATCGTATATGAGTACAACTTGAGTTTGTCGAAGTATTCTTCCTAATAATTACCATCATATTCTTTTTTTTTTTTTTTTTTTTTTTTTAACAAGAATTATAATCATATTCTTTCTTCATTTGCTAACATAAGTTACATAAGAAATATCGAGTAAAAACTAAAAAGTAACGATTAAAAATTGATAAAATTAATAAAATTTTGAATGTGTAAAATTGGATGATCTTGATTTTTATAAAACTTAAAACATTCGATTATTCGAAGACGTCACAATAACACATTAAAGAATTAAAAAGAAAAATACTCGTCTCAGATTTGCAGCCTATTGTCCATCATATAAATACATTACTCCGTAATATATTTATGCTAC